TACCAAAACTCAAAAATAAAAAAAGCAGTTGAATTCGAGATGGGGTATGAAAATCATTTTTCAAGTTCTGATCATTCCAACTAGGGGTAATAGTATATATTATCTAAACTAGCAACCAAAATTCTATATTATCTAAAACTAGTCTACCAAAATTCTACAGATTCCTACTTCATTAAGCAAATTTAAAATTCAACTGCTTTCATAAACAATATTAGTTGAAAAAAAACTTGTTTTGATTTTTTTTTTTTTTATTTTTATTTTTTCTTTTTTTTATTCATTTTTTATTCTTTTTTAATTTTTTTTGTTTTTTTTTTTATTTTTATTTTTTTATTTTTTTGTATTTTTTTTATTTTTTTGTTTTTTTTTTTTTTTTTTTTTTTATTTATTTTCATCTTTCAATTTTTTTTTATTTTTTAATTTTCTATTTTATTTAAAGCCTACTAACCCGCTTGACCGGCTTCGCTGGATGGAGGTGGAGAAATTGTCGGAACAGGCAGCGACAGGTTGACCGCATGGGGGATGCCAGAAGATGTTACTGGCCTGAAATTCATTGATTAAAAAATTCATTGGTTTGTTATGAGTTTAATGGTTTGTTTTTTATAATCATTCAAAGTTCCTTTTTTTTTTTTCAAACTTTTCAATTTTTACTTCATGAATTTGTCAAAAATTTCTCACCTGGAACGAAGAGGTGATGAGTGTCCTCTTCTCTCCCCACAAGATTAAGACGGCGGCGTTTCACCTGCCTTTCCTTCATTACGGCTGCGCATGCCCTTGGGCACCAGTCAAGGGCATGTAATTCCAATGCTGCAGTCTTCTGCGCAGCCGTAAAGTTGGGTGGAAGCAGGAGATAATGCCCACAACGGGCACAGAAACCTGTAATATACATAGTTAATGAATTTGATATTTTTTTTACCAAGCCAAATGTATAACTAAGAATATTGCGGTAAAGTACTTACCATCCTGCTTATGCATCCTCGACGTGTGGATGCGCCACCCTTTCAGTGACCCAAACTGCCTGTTGCAGATGCCACACACTGAAAATAGAAAAAAATTATTTGCATAGACAGAGCTGATTATCCATCAGTATAGAATTTTTGTATTTATTTCATTGATAAAAAAATTACCGATGTTGGTACTTCCTTCTGCCCGAATCACCGTGTACGGCTCCGCCTGCGGTGTTTCCAGCTCTCTTCGGAGCTGTACCGGAAGGTCCCCTAGATCTGCGGGGCGGAATGCTTCCGGTATCGCCGCAGCCAACGCCGTGTTCGTGGCTGGAACCGCAATTCTTATCGTCCTTGATCTTCTAAAAAAAATTTTAATTTAATCTGATTTATCCATTTTGTATGACTGGCAAAATTAATTTTGCTTTAATTTCTTTTCAATATATTAAATTAAAGCTTACAGGACGATCTCTCGAATTTCCTCTTCCGGTTCCTCAACACCACTTGCCTCCACCGGTGCCACCGGCACCTCAGGGCTTTCTTCGCTGCTATCTGGCAGAGGGGCACGCTCTGCTTCCGCTAGCCAATCGGCTTCATCGTCACTTTCCGGCAGAGGTGCCCACTCTGCTTCTTCTATATTAAATTCCGGCTCCTGAGGTGCCGGTCCCTCCTCCATTTCTTCTACTTCCACTTCTTGTTGGGCGTTTCGCCCTTCATATCCCGCCAGTCGTCTTTCTACCTCGGTCAAGCGGGCATTCAGCAGGCTATCACGCTGAAAAAACATACAATGATTATTATTATCATTATTTCCAGTACTTATAAACACAGATGATGATATCGCTACTGCAATAAAGTATCAACATCAAGGATAAAGACCATAAATCAATTTGTGAAAAATGAATAAATAAATAAAATGAAAAATGAGATACTTACCTGCTGCGTCATATTTATAAACTCCTGTAATGCATGGAGCATTACAGGTTCGTTCTCCAAATAGCGGAGAACGTCAGATATTCCCGGCATTGCCGGGCCATCTCCATTCGCAGCAAGCATTCTTGAAAGCAATCTGAAATAAGCAATAATTAGTCAAAGTTCATTAATTAAACAAAAAATAATAATAATGCGATAGAAAAGAACATCATAGGAAAAGGGTTAAGTGCAAATATGCAAATACATCAATGATGATTCTATCATTCGTTTGATCCTTAGAGAGAGAGTTATGACTTATGAGAGCTCTGACAACGATCTACACAGACTGTCAAGTAATCTGTATAACTAAGTAATCTATATGAGCACTCTTCTATACAAAAAAAGCTTTTTTCTCTCTTTCTCTTTTTCAGCATTCTTTTAGAGTTAGATCGAAAATAAAACCACTCAATGTTTGAAGCATTTCTAACCTCTTATTTATTGTTGATTTTTGTTGGTCCGTATTCCAGCATATAAGAATTGATATTCAAATATTGTTGGGTTTCGAATTTAGGCATTATGATGTGCTTAGCTGCAAGCTGTTCATATGGTGAGAAGCGTTCAACGATTTCAATAATTAATTTCGCTTATGGTTTGTAGTCCAAAATGATTCTGCGTGGAGTTTTACTTATTTCGGTATTAGCAATTATCCCGGTGAGTCTGCTACTATCAATTTTTATTTTAGACCAAATATGCAACCAAGTATTCACTGTTATGCTGAAAGCAACTTAAATTACTTTTAAATCCGCTGATAATTATTAATACATTGATTTTTTATTTCTTAATTCAGCTATTATTTGTTACTTGCCTATGATATTCCTATGTTATCTCAATTCTAAATTTTGAAATATTAGTATATCTAAGAAAGCAAGAAATTTTGAATATACTTTGCTTTTTCCATGTTGCCTTACCCATTTCCATTTGTCTATTTAATATTCAAGATGCCTATATTCTTTTCAACCTTTATTATTGCCGTCATTGTCAGTAAATTATTTTTACTACTAACAAAATTTTAATAAAATTTTAAATGGGTACATATTTCTTTTTTTGTCTTTCAATTTATGACAGTAACGGTAATATTAATGACTGAAATATATGCCACTTATCATATCACAATCTCGAAATCATCCTTATATAGCTAATCTGATTTCTTGATTTCTGTTAATATTACTGAAAAGAATCAGGATTTTCAGAAACTTCATAGCCAACAAACCTTATCTAATGTTCTTCAGCTTACTCATAATTATTTAATATTCTTTTGTGAAAATTTATCGAAAGGATCAATTGAATTCGTTCCAGACAAATAGATATTCTCTCAAATCAGCCAGACTTTGTATGAATCCGTGAAGCTATTCAAGCAATTATTCGATCTGGCTTATGAAATTCAATGATGATGCAGCAGAAACTGAAATTCTTTCGATCTCATTTAGACAAGTAATCAGATAAAGCTATCTCTTGGTCAGTTATTACAAGAATTCATCTTTGTTTATTTTCTCATATTTTAAATATTTCTACAAAGAAAGTAAAATTTTTAGGAAAAAAATTCGGTCGAAATATCTTCTGTATGTGATGTTCTATTGCCTATTAAAAATTAAATGCAGCAATCATTGACGGAGCGCTGAGATTTCCTGTCAAACACTTCTTTTCGAGAATAAAATGAGTTAAGCAAATGGTGGACAGAACACTGTAAAATTGTTTTTGTCTCTTTTTTCTCATTAATAATTGATTATAAGAAATATGAAAGATTAATAAGACACGCAATAATAATAGGTTGTCATTATTATTAATTATTATTATTTCAAAATGTGATTAATAAGACATAAAATAAATTTCATCGAAAACAGTTAATACATAAGAAGAAACCAGTGTTTTCGTTGTAATAATTTTGATAATTCGTAATTTTAACATTTTATACTCCTCTACAGAAAAAAGGTTTTTTTTTTTTTATGTGAGAAATGATTGCTAAATGCATGCAGTAGTCATGTGGAATTTCAATTTGTTCAAGTTTGAATATAAATTGGCATTAAAATTATCATTTTGCCGCCCAAAAAGCATTATGTATTTCAAATAATACTAGTTTTAAGTTTTAATTTCAATAAAATATGTATCCGTGAACTGAGCAGAAGAAAGGATTCGCATATTAAAATAACATAAACTTAATTATATTACTAATGGAGAATTATTTCATTTATTAAATTTAACTTTATAAAAAACTGTTAGAAGCTCATTTTTATTTTGAATGCTCTCTGTTGTTTTGAAAACAATTGCTATGATCTGAAAAGTAACTGCAAAAATATCACAAATTTTTATTGTTGATAACAAATTGCTTAAATAGGAAAAAGTAATTTCCAGTTATTTCATGGTAAAATTAATGATAAATGATAAAATCCTGAATGCCCATCACTATAAGATTAGATTAAAACAGACATAGAAAGGTTTAAATATAATTTTAAACATAAATTTTGAAACAATCATATTTTAATTAATGAGTAATTCATAATTTTGCAAGTGGGAACCAAAATTTTAGAATTAGATTTTATGTTTTCACAAGCAATTCTATATTTTTCTTACATTTGACTTACATGGCGAATTATAGTACAATTTTATAAGATTTTTCCTTAATATTTTTACAAATTAGTAAGATGATAATTGCAATATCCTTCATTTAACATTATCGGCATACACCATGTCCTACCATTAAATTTAAGAAATGATCTCTGCTAAAATCATTTGTTAACAGTTATTCGTTTTGTATTTACAAATAATTAATATTTTTAGTTCAAAGATAAGATCGGTTGTGCATTTTTATTACATTTAGGATTAATTTTATCATTTTCCATTTTTTTTTTTTTTGCATATTAATTACTATTTTCAGAGATTCAAACATTTCAAATTTCAGAATACTTTGTAATTATCTTCATTAGATTTCAGATGACTTAAAAGTGTTAACAATCAACGAACAATTCAACAAATATTAAACTGAAGTAAATATTTTTATCATTATGTAAAATGAGAAAAAAAAAAAAGAATGGAAATAATAAATGCAATGCAAAATTTTTTGTCAAATTCAAATGACTGAATTATTGATTATCATCAACCAAATGTGGCATTCAAAATACTCACAGATATTTTTTTTAACTTTTTGTTAGTACGTTGAATAAATACTTTATTTTCACCAGTTCCTTCACTACTGTTTGTTACAACCATTGTGCGCACCTCATAAATTTTTCTATCTAATGAAGGCGTTTTAAGATGAATCGATTCAATTTCCTAGAAATATTTCCACTAAAGTTTAAATTTGTTTTTTTTTTTAAAAAAATTTCCAAAAATTCCATTTTAATCTTATTCTAATAAAATTCAATAACAAATGAAATTTTGTTAAAATGATAACTATTAACATAATTTCAATTTACTAACAGTTGAAATTAAGAATAAAATTAACAATTGAAAAAAGATTTTGAATAAACATACATCACTAGAAGACAATGTTAGCCATGATACGATTATCATCAACCAAATGTGACAACTGCTCACTCTCATATTGAACAATAATTGCAAAATGACACTGAAATTAAAATATAGATAAAATTAACAGAAGTTTAATTAAGCAAAAAAGAAGACTAATTACAGTTCATTTAAAAACAAGTTAATTAATTGGAAAAAAAATAACAAGTTTTAAGTGAGATAATTGTTATTTCATTATTATAAAAATTATTTATTGACTGATGAATTGACATACTGTTCTCTGTACTCATAATTATTTTTGATTTATTAATGATGGTTTTTTGACGCTAGAATATTTATTAAATTTGCCTATTCAGTTTAATGGAATTAATAGTTTAATAACAAAATTAATAACATACGAGAAATAAATATAGGGATTACATGAATGAACAACCAAAATAATTTTAAAGAATGAAATAAATAAATGGATTTGCGACATTCAAAATATATTTATGAAAATATATAAGGCAAATAACACTAATGGAAAATGAATTTTTTATTAGGAATTGCACTGATATCAAACAAAATGTTTTAAAAAAACGAAAAAAACGACAAAGCGAAATTCCATTGCTATCAATGATGTATCTGCTTGATTTTAATGTTAATTTTATGAAAAATTTCAAATACCCACTTTGATTTGATACATTCGCTGCTAATTTTGCTGTTAGAATATTTTCGCTATAGGCATTTTGAAAACAATTGATTGTTTCATTTATTTGAAATGCTTTTTTTTGTGTTTCAAAAAATTCTAAAATAGCAAATAACAATTTTTCAAGAATCAAATTTAAATCTGGATTTCGAAAATTATTTTAGGATTAAAATAAAAAAACAAAATTGATAAATTTCATTCATTTCGAGACCTTTTTATCAAAGGTCAATTTGATTCCTTTTAATTATTTTGATAACATAATTATTTAATTATATTTATTGCTGGCAAAGAAATTGTATTAGTAATAGTTTAAACAATCAGAGTTCCCCATTTTGAATCGAAAACTTTTGTATTTATTTAATTATCATTTTCCTCCACTACATTATTTCGTTCTTTTTTTTTTGCATGCATTGAATAAATTATCAATTAATTTGATCTAAATTAATTTGATCAACACAGATAGTGGAATGTTCCAGCTAGAAAAAAGAAATTATTATTTATAAATTAAGTAAGAAATAATAGAAAACAATGAAAACTTTATATAATTATCGCATTAAACTAACTGACAATAAAATGAAATCTATTTAAAACTGAAATTAATAACTAATCTTTGCATTGCTCAAATTGTTAGAAAATCACATCAGACTTTCGAGATTCGAGCTGATAAGATTAAATAAATATTAAATCCATCATTATCTTCCGCATAATTTATCAAAGTTTCTCGAGAAATATCGCATTTGAGCAAAATTAAAATTACATGAATAAATGCAAGATGCAAGAACAGTTAGCATGCATTACATTCACACTGCATGTGCAGTTAGCAGTCTGCATGCATTACATGCACGTTGCATGTGCAGTTAGCAGTTAGCATGCATTACATGCACACTGCATGTTGGTAAATATATTTTTGCCCTAATCATTCTTTCTTATCACTAATTATAATCTGTCTATCATTGTCATCACCATGATATTAAAGTGAAGAAAAATACGATATAAACGGATAATTTGCAGCTACTCCTTGGTTTGTTTAACCCTTCTCAACGAATGATTGGCCCGATTGTTAGGTAAGTATGTTCGTCCGTATCTAAGAGTAGCAAAATTTCTGGCGGTTATCCGCTCCATCATTTTTTGGGAAAGTTGCCCTCAACGGGCAACAGAATGTTTCGATCAATTATGCCAACATTGAATCTAAAGTAGACTCATTCTTTAGACCTATAAATCTCATTTTTTAATAAATTTGACAAATTTCTAATTAGTAATTGCAATAATGAATTACCTGAAAATATTGTAAACATTATTTTCTGCAACAAACCTTCCACACTATTTAGCCAACCGATTCACCGCTCTGCAAGAAGAATTCATTCCAAGAAATATCCAGAAAATATGGCGAAAAATTACGAAAAGAGTATAAATTTGGAAATATGGTTTTAATTCAATAAATTAAGAACGAACGATTGGATGGTTTAAAATTTTCACTTGTAATGTTATATTTTACTAAATAATTAATTTGTTTATTTACTGTAAAGTAATTAGATTGTAAAGCAATTAAATCATTTTGATAAAGCAAAAATTATAAATATTGGATAGAAATGTTCAAAATATTTGTTCAAAGTACCATTCCGATGCATTCAATTTGCTGTTTGCTCAAAGCTATAAGATCATTTCGGTAAAATACAAATTATTTTTTACTCGCTCAATGTTGCACTGATCATAAACACTATTATCGAATTATCAAAATCAAATGATAATATCAATGATAAATACTATTTTAGTTCTAAGAACATTTGTTTTCAATGAAAAATAAACAAGTGATTAAGTCTGTTTTATAAAATTAGATAAATAAGTCGAGATTCCATATGACTACTTAATAGCTGTACAATTGATATGCAGTTTAACAGGTTTCGAGATTTTGATAGGAATTGAGGTGAAAAATTAAATAAGAGGTAAAAAAATGTGATAAAAAATAAATTTAAGAGAGGTATATAAAAACACTTTTTTTTTCATCTTTTTCTGTCTTTTTTCCTAATACTACTGAAACAAAAGCAATATTAGATGGAATAGTTAGAAATTTTGATAATTATTAATAATTCAAAGAAATCAGATCAACAAAATGAGCTGATAATTTGAAATTGTTCAAATAGCAGCACTCAATTCTTCATCATTTCCTGTATTAATTTGCAATAGAAGATTTACTGACAAAACTGAAACTGCAAGATGAGAATGCATCGTGCAGTCAGCACAGTTAGCGTGCATTGAAAGTGCATGAAATATTTTTCCTTTATCTCTCTGATCATCATTGATTAGTAACTTGTCTATTACTCACATCTTTTTCAAAATAAGATTTGGGAGAATTTGGGGGGGCAACATTCAACCTTTAAATGGTTATCTGGGTTATTTGTCACTTTGTTAGTGACAACTCTTACCTGCAGTCAGTATAATGTGGCACTTGTCATGTCATTTTTTGGGTCGCCGTTGTTTAAAAGCGACAGTAATATGTCAACATGGAAAAGATCAATTGTTTAAAATTTTTTTTTTTTATAAATTTTATCATTTCTAAGTATTATAAAGTGAAATTTTTGTGGATTTTTTGCATTAATTTTAAAAGTGACATCACTAAAATGTGGGCAGGTCAGATCGGATGATTTGCCTACATATCTGATGAAAATGGATTCATAGGAAAAATTTCAAACAAATTCAAAATTCGTTTATAATATTAATTAATTTTAATTTTTAACACTGAAAAAACATATTTTAGTAAAAGCTTATAGTCTAATTAATGGGAAGTAATGTTAGCCAGAATTGTTGAAAAATTTTTTGCATCAGTGAAAACTTTCAATTAATTAATTTCAATACAAAGTTTTATGTAATGAATGATCAAATTAATATCTTACATCCATTTTTTTTTTTGAAATCATATATAATCTCTTAAGAGTATTAGAAAGTGAGAAAGAAAGGTGCATACTTCAAAGACAAATATTTTTTCTTATATTTTCTACTTACCAATCCGTTCATTACTTACATCACTAACAATTGAATATAAATGACTTCTAGGAAGAAATTGATTATTCCCGGGAAGCAAATTACAAGTGATAATGGGTGATTACATGGATATCAGTTAGCTTGATTTTTCCTTCTTTAATTTGAAGTGATAAGCGTTTATTTTTTGCACTTATCACTGCAAGATGACACACTGCTAGCAACGACATATAGTTTTCATTGATGTTATTTACGACCAATCCAAAATTGAGCAAACAGCAAAATGACCTTATATATATTTCAATGAAAACCAATGATTCATGATTTAGAAGGAGAAAGCTTAGATGATATTCAGGTTTGCAATAGGTAATGTATTGACAGAATTGAAACTGCATGAATAAATGCAAGATGAGAATGCATCGTGCAGTCAGCAGTCGGCATGCATTGAAAGTGCATAAAATATTTTTCCTTTATCTCTCTGATCATCATTGATCAGTAACTTGGCTATTACTTACATCTTTTTCAAGCTTATAAAATTGCCTCGTACAGCATTGAAAGTGCATGAAATATTTTTCCTTTATCTCTCTGATCATCATTGATTAGTAACTTGTCTATTACTCACATCTTTTTCAAGCTAAGATAAAAGGTCGAAGCGACCCTTTACTTTAGCTTTAGTGACCAAACAGTAACTAATTACTACCTGTCTGGCTTGTTTGTCATGTAGTGTTGAATGATTGGTTTGATTGTTTATTTTGTCCGTTTCCATTGGTAGTAATACTTGTCAAGTGACAGTTATCTGTTATGTTATTTTTTGGAGAAGTCGTCTGTTTAAGGGCGACAATATAAATTAACATTGGAAACAATAACTGTCTTCATGATTTCTTATATTATATCATTTCTAAGTTATTCTAATTTAAATTTTTATACATTTCTGATATTAACTTTAAGATTCTGCGATACAATACATATATATACCAATTTATCTAATAATAATCGAAACAATCATTCATTTAAATGAACTACATATACTAGCGGTGCGGCTGTGACCTCAATTAGCATTCTCTAGACTAAGATTGTCGAGACTAATGCATTAATAGTTGCAGTCAGATAAAATAAGAGAAACAGTTACATAGTGAATTCTTTTTATAGATTAAGCGAAAATCAATTAACGCAATAATGAAATCTTTGCAAATTATAACTATAATTCCATGCTTCATTTTAAAAGAAATATTTTAACAAAAAAAATTATTTATCATATTTATTTTCAAGTGATTGATAGATTTATACAGTGATTAGTCAGGAAATCATCAAATTGGTCGAAAATCAGTTAAATTTTGATATTCAAATTCATCAATGTTAATTTATAGTGCGTCGGTAAATAGGCGACGACTACCCAAAAAATAATATAACATAACTGTTATTTCAACAATTACTACCAAACGAAACGGTCAAGCCCATATAATCACGACAGAACAACCCAAAGGGGTAGCAAATGCGAAGTCTTTCCTTCTTCAGTCAAAATTTGCTTCAACTTTAGATGAGAAAGATGTGAGTGGTAGACAGATTACTAATCAGTGATAATCAGAAAGACAAAAGAAAAATATTTTATGCACTTTCAATTAATGATCACGCTGAATAGAGCATAAGGATATTATGATTGGATTTAAACAATATTTTGATTCTTCTAAAAAAAGTATAGAGTCATTTAGTTATCAAAATGTATACAACATCATCTATGATTAAAACTAGCTAAAATGTTTAGTATATGTAAATAATCATATAAGATTATTATCAGATATGCATAAAGCTTGATT